ACGAATGGAAGACTACATTCGCCTCCAGATACGGAATGTTTGAATACTTAGTTATGCCTTTCGGGCTAACCAACGCACCGGCTTCATTCCAGAGATGGATCAACAGGGTACTTAATAAGTACCTCGACATATGTTGCATCGTATACCTGGATGATGTACTCATATATTCGGAAAATATACAACAACACCAAAAAGATATCAGCAACATCATGGCGGCAATACAAGGATCAGGAATGAAGATCAAACCAACAAAATGCGAATTCCATAAGGAAGAAACAGAATACCTTGGATTTATCATCAATCGAAGTGGGGTCAAGGTTGACCCAGTTAAAACAGCAGCCATTTGGGACTGGGCCAAACCAAACAACAAAACAGATGTTCAGTGCTTTATGGGATTCTGCAACTTTTATCGAAGGTTCATAGAGGGATTTAGCAGGCTTGCAAAAACACTCTATAACCTTACGAAGAAAGACAAGAAATGGGAATGGGGAGAAAATGAACAAAAAGCATATGATGCAATACGAACGCATCTAACATCAGCACCCATACTGGTTCATTTCGACCCAAACCGAAAGACAATGATCGAAATGGATGCCTCAAAATATGTATGCTCAGGCATACTATCGCAACAGTGTGATGATAGAAAATGGAGACCAGTGTCTTACCGATCCAAGACAATGACCCCCACAGAGTGCAACTATGATGTTGCAAACAAAGAACTATTAGCGATAGTTCAAGCATTAAAAGAATGGAGGAGATACGTTTCAAACAACGACCACCCAGTCCGAGTTCTAACCGACTACAAGAACCTGGTCCCATTCATGACCACGAAAGAATTGAACGACCGCCAGATAAGATGGATGGAGCACCTTAGCAAATACAACTTCAAAATCGAATACCAACCAGGAAAAGAGAGCGGAAAGCCAGATGCTCTCACAAGAATTGCAAGCGACAAACTACAAACGAAAGAAGATGAAAGGATCAAACAAAAAACACGGACCCTATTACCAAAAACGTACTTCGAGGCCATGGAGGTTATCCAATTCACATCAAAGGAGGAAAGAGGAATTGAGGACACAAACGAGAAAGACAAAACAATCCAGGCAATAAGAGAAGCATTGGAAGAAGGAAAAAAGGAGATGAAAGGAATTGCACTAGGGTTATGCCAATGGAAGGACGGAAATATGTGGTACGATGGAAAACAATGGATCCCAGAAGAAGAGGAGATAAGGACAGACATCATACAACAACACCTTGATATCCGAACGGCAGGACACGGAGGAACAGCTAAAACCACGGAATTCATCACGAGATTATTCTATTGGCCAGGACTGCGCGAAGATGTCAAACGATATCTCAAAAACTGCGACATATGCCAAAGAACGAAAACGGCTAAACACGCACCATATGGATTACTAAAATCAAACGAAGTCCCCGAACAACCATGGGAAACAATTACTATGGATTTCATCACGGACCTACCAACATCGGAAAATTGCGATAGCATCTTGGTCGTGGTGGATCGCCTGACCAAAATGAGTCATTTCATTCCGGTTAGAAAAGACATCAACACGAGGAATTTTATACAAACATTCTTCCGAGAGGTCTTTCAACTTCACAGCCTCCCAAAGAATATCATTACCGATCGAGGAACACTATTCACATTGGGACTATGGAAGAAAGTAACCAGAGAAATGGGAATACAAAACAGAATAAGCACAGCGTTACACCCACAAACAGATGGACAAACCGAACGGGTAAATGCGATACTCGAACAATACTTAAGGGCCTATGTCAACTATCAGCAAGATGATTGGTACAAGCTGTTATCGATCGCCGAATTCGCATACAACAATGGAAAGCAAGAAACAATTGGCACGACACCCTTCTTCGCGAATTACGGACAACATCCACAAAGTCAGACCCCATATCATACGATTAATGATGTGATACCAGAGAAAGCGAATATGGGAAAACTACACGAAACCTTACAATACGAGATGAGTCAAGTCCAACAACGGCAAAAAGAACAATACGATAAGCACCGAAGACCGGATCCAAACATACAACCAGGAAACATGGTATGGCTAATACCACGCAATATCCATACAACACGACCATCAAAGAAACTGGACTACAAGAAAATTGGACCCTTCAGGATATTGGAAAAAGTGGGCAGCCGAGCTTATAAACTCGACCTTCCCCCCTCAATGCGAATACACAATACATTCCACATCTCACTCCTCGAATTACACAACGACAATAAATTTCCTTCACAAATACTTATTCCTCCCCCTCCGATCGAACTCGACGGAGAACCAGAATACGAGCTCGACGAAATAGTCGATTCCCGCTTCTTCCAAAGTCACCCCCAATACCGAGCCAAGTGGACAGGATACTCTCCTGAACACGATAAAACTTGGTACTTCGCACACAACTTCGAAAACGCACAAGATGCCATCTCAACCTTCCACCAGTGATACCCAGGCAAGCCCGGCCCAGGTAACGATCACGTTCAACCAAGACAAAAGCGAGAGAAAGACTCCCGCGCCATTGCAGCAACACGAGGGCAGGGGCGATAGCCCCCGCCTAACCACACCCACCAGCCCCAAATACTCATTCATGGGGCCAACCGACGAAGAACTCAAAGAAAGGGAAAAACAAGCGCAGCATAACGCCATGTCATGGACGGTATGCTACGATGACGGTTGCCAAACACACTTTGGCGACAAAGAAGGCTCGGGATGGTTCCCGAGGGAATGTCGGAAGCGAGGCCCACGCCCGGACCACGTTCTAAAGCATTGGCAACAATGCTTCAGAAATGGGTGCAGGATGCACAGGGCACAAAAAATATCTGCGGGATTTTACCCGCAGAAAGATGGAAGCCGAAAAGAGTTGGAAGGAGAAGATGCCAGAAAGGCATGGGCCGCGAGGACGCGGTCCAAGGAGGAAAGTGCCCAAAACTCCTCGGCAGACACGGAACCGGATGTCAGGAGCCTACACAGGCAGATCTGGGGACTCCGAGAACAACTGGGCCAAGCCGAGGCCACAATTTCGGCAAACGACAAAACGATCGCGGAGCTTAGACAGCTGAACGACAACCAGCGGCAAACGATCAAGATGGCGAATCTGACTCTGGAATCGGTAAGGGTCAGATGGAGGACGGCAGATGAAAAGTTCCACAAGCTGAGAAGGACCATGCGCTCGGCAGGATGGGAACTATTGAAACTGGCAGAAAAAGCCTGATGGGACTCAGGCTTAGGAGGAGGGGAGCTAATGTCACGAACGTGGCTTAGTGAGGAAAGGGTTTTCACGTGACACATGGTTATGGGTCACAGGTATGTTATTGTTTCACGCATATAACCTATTCGGGTTGTATGATTAGTTATGTGTGGGATTTGTGATGCTTTCGCACATGGTTCAAGTATGAGTCATGGGACATGCGCTTGACGAGTATGCCTTACGAGTATGCCTTACGGGCAAGCCTTGCGCATATGATTTATGTTTCGCACATGACCTCATTATGATGTCATGGGTTTCGTGCATATGACTCAGTCGAGTCATATGACTTGTTTATTGCGTTATGATTGGTTTATGAGTTTTGCATATGACCTTGCTATAAGGTCATGGGTTTTGAGCATGTGATCACTTTGGTCACATGATTAGTTTGTTTTGATTTGGTTTTGCACATGTGACCACTTTAGGTCACATGATTAAAGGCAGGAAGGACACTATATAAGGAGGCCGATGCGGCCGAGGAAGATAGGTTCTTCACGCTTTGTTCTAAGTACTTTTCCTAAATATTACTTTAAACAAATATAAAACACCTTTACGATCTTTATCCTTATTGCAACATTATCGTTACACTGAGAAGCACTCGTTACGAAGATGAGTTAGAGAAAGCTTACGATAGGTGTTTCCGGTAGAAGACAGAGGTCTTGTACTATCGGCAACATAGGCAGAGGCCTAGAGCTATCGTAAGACAAGGAAAGAAAGGGAAAGGAAAGATAAGTATCGTTTCCCGTCACCAAGAACTAACTATCTGAAAGGGGATCGTTACAATAGGTCTGTAGTATTGTACATCATGCTAACAAGTTCTAGGTAGCTAAAGTAGTAACCCAATTGCACCCCCATTCGCCTCACTTACCCTTAACCCCCTGTACTCGTAGATGCCTGACCCTTGTACAATACTATACTCGTACTCGAGTACAGGCACACTTGCAAGTAACTTGTAACATGCGCACCTGCAAGATCTCACCCGGTTCGCTATCTCCTGCATGTCTTTGATCTCCTAATTTAAAGGGAAGAATTACAGTAGTGTTTTCCTGAAACGGTACCATGAGCCCTCTGGATATGTTAGACCTCATTAACTGGGATTCGCAATCCTGTTAACCCGTCAAACTAAAACTTATCATGGGCTGATGTGGCAGTTTCCGCTGATAATCTGATAGCGAATTCCATGTGATCTTGCGGAAATAGCTGATACTTGGTAGAGCAGATTTACCGGAGTTTTGGCCACGCCCATTTTGGTATTCACACTTTTCTACTCGTACACACTCTGGCCATAGGAATGCAGCAAGCTAAGGATCTCATGTCTCGGGGATCCATGATAACGCCCGCATTGATCAGGGCACTTGGGTGGCCCTTATCTTGTTCCATATGGCTCCCCCCATCTTGTTTATCATGCACCATACGGCGACTACCCCCCCCAATGTGGGAGCGAAGGCCGTGAGACTTATACCTGAGATCCCTTGCATCCCATCTATTTCTAAGAGCACTGATTCCCGCCTCCTTATTTGGCAGGTTCTGGCTCGTGATTTTTGGTTATCAATCACCACTCGACACCAGTTCAATAAGGGCAGGTTTTCGGCTCAGAGCAGAGCGCGCGCGCATTTTGTTTATTTTATCACAACTTCTTCAATCCTGGAGTTCTACCTTGCGAGAACTGGAGATTTGCCTGTGCAATCTTTGCCCTTTCGTGTCACTATTTTCGTGGGCTTATGGACTCGTCGATTCAGGATCCCTTGGTCGGATCCGAAGCCGAGGCACAAGAAATACTGGGCGGAAACGGAATTTCCGAGCCACCTTTGATTGGTGGAGGCCTGAGTGCGGGGGGGGCACTTTATCCTCGGGGTCTTCAGCATGAGGGAGCGGAAGCAGGCGAAACATCGCCGTTGACAGACGAAAACCGAAATGGTGCGCCCCCAAGGGCCGATGAAATTGACGATTGGGAGGGAGTTCCATGGTACCGCAAACCGTCTGTGAGACAAATCCTGACCTCTTCAAAGCACGCATCGGGAGCATGAGGTTGAATGGTCATTAGGTTTTTTGGCTGCTGCCACCGTTTTGCTTGTTCACTATGGCATTTGGCGGGTGAGAGCTCCCGTCTAATATATTGCCATAGAAGAAAGTTGCTATAAGTACTAATATCTCTACCGCAGTGCTGGTGTACCACGGCTGAACGTTATCCTAGCTCTTATATGCCAGCAATATTATACAGATACTGGATATACGGGAAATCCCATCCTACCTGTTCTAATGGGAGGTGACAATGACAAACATTGCAAAGAACCCGAGGTTATTATGTGCCGTCACGCATCGTGTATTCATGAGCTCTATTCTAAGTTTACGTTAAAATTAGGTTCAAGCTCTTGTCTCGAAGTTCACGTTATATATGAGCCTTGTTGCAGGCATTTTTAGTAGGTTTCTTCCTATCTTAACAAATGAATTTGTAATTGATCTATGGCACAGGTGCGCTTACCTCCCCAAGGCTAGGGTCTCTATCGGACCGCCACGGAAGAAGACTTGCCATGGCATTTTCTTCTTTTGGTATGCTTGCGAGTGAAATCACTACTATTTTGGCAGTGAAATATCCAGACCTCTTCAGCGTGAATATTCTGCTTTTGGGGTCACTGGTTGATGGCCTCTGTGGCAGCTTCATGCTAGGGATGGCATTATCGTACTCATATGGGGCAGACTGCACATCCCCTGCTCGGCGTGCTGTGGCCTTTGGATATTTTCAAGGATGTCTTTTCCTCGGAATAGCCATCGGGCCAGTGCTTGGGGGTTTATTAATCGAAAGGACGAATAACATACTATCCGTGTTTTATTCCGCATTGGTTAGTCTTATTGTTTAATACCTAGAGTTTTAACAATATTGACATCTTTACACTAGGGGGCACATGCTGTTTTTATAGCCTATGTCACGTTTTTCATGCCAGAATCTTTATCCGAGCGCCGGATGGTACTTGCGAGGGAAAATCATGAACGCGAGCGGATGGAACGGCAAGAGGGAGCCCCTAAACATTGGTGGAACTCTCTTAATCCAATAAACTTCCTGCGACCTCTCACAATCCTATTCCCAACCGGGCGGGGTTCAAGTGCAAGGCTGCGATTGAATTTGATGCTTTTGGCTGCTACTGATTGCGTCCTCTTTGGGGTCGGAATTGGAAGTATTACTGTGATTCTGATATACGCAGAAGCAAAGTTTGATTGGGGAAATTTCGAGGTACTTTCCTGAGGTACCTATAGGAATTAAGTTGTGCTAACTTGATCGGTTTCCCAAGTCATCCATATATGTTTCTATTGTAAACTGCTTTAGGGTCACGATGTTGTTTGTACTGCTTCCCCTGGTGGTCACCTTCTTTCGTCGTGGATCGACGGCACAAAACCCACTCAAGGGATGCGATACACTTGATATTAAGTATGGCTGATCTTATGTCACATTTCTACTCACCCGAGACTCTTAATCTGATGTGAAACATAGCTTGATCCGGTTCTCGATTGCTGTTGAGACTGCGGGATATCTTTGTTACGCGCTCGCACAGAGCGGGGGCCAGTTTACAACTGCTGGCGTATTAACGGCTCTTGGAGGAATTGGCTCACCAACTTTGCAATCGTCTCTTACAAAACATATACCCACGGACAAAATTGGGAGTCTCCTTGGTGCCACAGCCCTTCTCCACTCTTTAGCAAGAGTCGTAGCTCCAACGTATGTCTCAAGTATTCCCTGTTTTGCGGCCGGAGTACTCGGGAATGATCTAACGAGATGATAAAGTGTCTTCAACCTGATATACGCATCGACGGTAGCAACATATCCGCAAACTGTGTTTGTCTGCTTGTCCTCCACATTTGGGATTGCTGCTATTTGCTCTCTGTTCCTCACGCCTGGAGTATTTTGGAATGATGCGAGTGAGGGTGATGGAGAAGAGGAGACTCAGGAGGAACATGCTCCCCTCCTATCATCAGAGTAGATATTGGGTCTTATGGATGCCACAGATGCCGAGGGTTTGGCGGATTGGTTTTCGTGTCTGTTCGTTCGGTATATTATGGTGTTACTGTACTATCTGCTAGTGTAGTTGCATTAGGACAGCTATTTAGATGGGATTTTGGGTGATACATTTCAGGATAATAAAATGATATACTTTTAAATCAAGACCATTCCCTAAAGTCCAATATAAGTGTTGTTGTGCAAGTGCGGTAGCTCGCACTAATAACTCTTTCGAAGTAATAATTATTGACTATAAAGGGTCGTCATAAAGAAAATGTATGATAGTGTCCCGGGCATACCGGTGGTTGATGTTGAGCGGGTGTTTGTGAGTCACTAGGTTATATAGGGTTAGGTTTGAGAAAATATCAAACAATTTCTAGACGCAAGAAACCAGTGGATTTTCCTCGGGCAAAAGAACTTCAGAAAACCCCCCCGCTTCCTCCTGCAGAATGCTTGAGGGCGCTTCTCCACGTCCGCCAGAATTCCCTAAAGGAGTATGATGATACCTCATACTCATGCTGTAGCCCCTTCGAAGAACGCTCTTCATTACCTGCGCCAAATCCTCTTCCATTGGCCCTGCGAATCATTTCATCGCGGGCCCACCGCCAACTGCATTAGACTCGATGTCCGGCGGGAAAACAGCAATTGCTCCCAGCAGGCGAAGGTCCGCTCCCCAGAGGTACCTAAAAAGCAGCGGAACCCAATTTGTCTAGAGGCCCCGCCATCATCGCCTAATGTTTCGCTCACGAAGCCAGCGCCGAAGTCCGTCTCCCGGCGCCATCTGTTAATCTCACAGAGAGCGTCCGCTCAGGGGGCTGCTACTACTACTGCTGCTACGACTAATACCACTACCGCTACCTCAATTGCAATTCCTATCCAGGATAAAATCAAAAGTGCTTCGTCAAGGATTTGGGTACTGAAGTGCTGTCGGTCCATTCTGGAGGGGAAGCCATCGGAGGCTAGGGAGGGATTTCTGGCGGGGCTCCGGCGGGGTGAAGATGGCGAGCAGGTCAAGATCGTGGGAAAGGCAGTGATGAAGGCATTGAGAAAGCGGGGGCGGCATTCCGAGATCCCCGACATATTCCACCGGATGCACATCGCCGGTCAGAAGCATGTCGACACCTACGCGCTGAATATATGTCTAGAGGCGTACATTGAAATGGGTATGTACTCCAAAGTTATCTCGACATATCGGCATCACAGGCCCAGGGTGCGCCCGGATATACAAACCATGAGGCATCGGTTGCGGAATCTCATCGCTATGCGGAAATTGCACCAGGCGGAGAAACTGCTGCGGAGGCTTCTGAGGGAGGAGGGGCCACCGTGGATGGCAGATTCCACGATGTTTGCGCTGCTGCTTGGTGGGGTGAAGATTATTAGTGGATCGTTTCACAGGATGGAGAGGATATTCAAGTGGATGGCTGAATCAAGGGTAAAACTTCACGTCGGTGTGTTTAACATATTGATTGAGGCGGCAATCGATATTGGTAGGCTAGATATAGCAAAAGGATATGCGCAGGTGAAGCTGGAATTTGGTATCAAGCATAACGCGGAGACCTACGCAATTTTTCTGGCGGCGTACGCTCGGAAGCAGAACTGGCAAGGTACGGCAAATGTCCTAAAGGAGATGGGGGTGAGGAAGGTACAGCTCACGGCACCCATGTTTAATATGCTCTTAAAGACCTACTCTACCATGATTGGACTACAAGATCTGGAAAAGTTTTTTGACGAGATGGAAAAACGAGGTATATTGCCGGATTCATACTCTTACAATATTATGATCCACTCATGTGTACGGCAGTGGGATGAGCCCAGCATAGAGCATTGGGTTCGCCGGTTGGTGAGTTCTGGGATTGAACCGGATGCTGCAACTCTGAATACACTGTTTCAAACCATCCGCTACACTGGCGATGCGGTCCCTTCTCTATTACGGAGGATTTACGCCATTATCCGGGAAAGCAACGACTCCTTAATCAACCAGCGGACAAAGGACATGCTCGTGCACTCAACATATCGAGGGTTGCAGCGAGTTCGGATTCGACCCTCACAAGAACATGTGGACCAAAGTAGAGAAGAAGTAGCGATGGATCGCGCACTCCAACAAGGCCAATTCATCACAGCAATCGACATATTCCAAAAGCACCTCTCGAGAGGCATAAAACCCTCTATCCCAATCGTAACCTCTGCCGTCCGTGCCACCCTCTCCCTGCCTAGGCCCAACCTCCCAGAAGCATATAGACTCCTCCGGATCTGCGAAGACCGCGGGATCAAAATCAGCAAAACCCCCACCCTCCGATCCTTCGAAGTCCTCCTCCCGCCACGGAACACCGACCCAGCAGAAGCCTACATCGCCGTCTCCAGCCAGGTCCGCGAAGCATACACATTCCTCGAATCCGCTGAGCTGCCAATAACCCACGACATAAGCGTGCACACGGCATGGCGTCTCATCCAAGAAAAGAACCCCCGCGCCGCGGTCCTCCTCCTGCACAAGATCTCGAAAACCCGCTGGGGCACGGATTTCCCGTGGGAGAAGAAGAGCCTGACGGTGCTCATGAAGGCGTACATCGACATCGGGCATATTTCTGGCTTGGGCTGGATAGTGGATCAGCTGATCGACAGCGGGGAGGTGCCGGATGGCGTGGTGTTCAAGTACTTGAAGAGGGCGGTGGATGCTGCGACGACCGACCAAGATAAGACTTTTGCGCAGTGGTTAGGAGCAAGATGCTTCAAGCATAAGTCTTCCATGAGAGAAGAGGCCAAGAGGCGCATGCACTTCCTGTGGTATTTGGCAAAGAATTGGAAGAAGACTTGATTTTATTGGACCTATCTCTGTGTTTATCGGATGGGAGAGGCGTTGTTTTCCAGTGTGTATGTGCATGTATGTGCGCTTAGATTTCTCATCTTTTTGTGATTCCCCGGTACCGTATAGATGGGTTAAGTGAAACAGGTGCATTATATAGGCGGGGTGGGGGTTCATTTAGCACATCATATTTCTTTCGTCCATTCATTGGCCATCAGTCGCTCTCTCCTTTGTGCCTTAACTTATTTGTACTGTATTTGTAACATGGCCCGCACAATAGCTATACATAATTCTATATGGCTCTCTGCTTTGGATGTAGATGGTCGCTTGTCACGAAATATCATGTAAAATTTGGGTTGGGGGGTCTGGAGCACCGGGGTACTACTGGTATATCATACTCTACATTACGACTACTTGCAACCGATATGGTATTTTTTTTTCTTGTTTAACGGCCTGTTTAGCATGTCGATTTTATGCCATATGAACTACAATACATAAACTCCAGCTGCACTGATCGCTGCATTTCTCCCCCCCCCCCATCCACGACTTCCCGAGGCATCCCCTGTGATCTATCTGTTTTATTAAGCTTTTGAGAGGGTGCAGGATTTTCTTGCTGTTTATCTAGGTTCCCTAAACTGTATTTTTAGGATACTTGTCGGGGTTTTTCCCGTATTTACCAATAAATCCCAGGACTTATGATAACAATAAAAATAAAGTAAAAAACCCACACTAAACGGGAATGCAGAAAAAGGACGAAAAAATGTGCATTGTCCAACTTGAGCACTAAACGTCACAAGAGCCCGTCCAATTAATTGCTCTCCATCATCATCGCCTCCGCCTCCTCCTTCTTCCTCCTCTCCTCCTCCCTAACTACCTTCCTCTCCAATTTCTTCCTCAATTCCTTCGCCATACTAAAAGCGCCATCTGTGCGCTTCCCGCAAATTTCACAATTCGGCGTCTTCTTATACCTAGCGATCGCGCATGTCTCGCAAAAGTAATGCTTGCACTTGGTGACAATAGGACTCTTATAGTCGTCCTTGCAAATAACGCACTTGAAGGGTATATCTTTCAATTCTCTCTCCTCCTCATCCTCCCCTTTACTATCGTCCCCTTTCTTATTTTTAGCTTTACCAGTCTTTTGGTCAATCTCCCAGTCGCGATCCAACTTCCAACCCTGCGCATAGTCCTCGCGCGCATGTAGGAACTTGCATGTGTCGCCGAAGCCGCAGAAGCCGGTTTGCTTGTAGTCCTTGCAGACGTCAGGTGCGTAGTCCGTGATCGTGATTGTGCGGATGTTGCTAGGCGCTTTCATGGGACCGACGGATCGGGCAGGGGCGTTTTCGGACTTTTTGATGAAGGAGGTGTAGGATGATGTGCCCTTGTACGCCCCGCCCACAATCGGTTCTCCCTCCCCTTCTGCTGTGTTCTTCTTCGAAGATAAAGAAGACGTTTCGTTGTCACCGTGGTTGTGCCAGTTCGTCTTTGTCGCGTCGTTTGCGTTTGTTAACTCGCTGCTCACGTCTGTATATCTTCGCTTCACGTCCTCCGAGTTTCCGAGCGTGGCGGAACTAGGTTTGCTGGTAGTTTTGGTCGTCACAACGCTTTTGTTTTTTCGACGTTTCTTGACGCATCGAGTGCCAGTTGCTTTTTCGTCTGAGGAGGAGTAGGCATCTGAGGAGTCAGAGGTGGTGGTGGGGGGTGGTGTGGCGGGGCGCTTTCGGATTGAAGAGCGGTTTTTCGTGGAGCGTTTGAAGAAGGTTACTGTCGGGGCTGGCACTGTGGTTGCTGGGGTGTCGGATTGGGGAACTGGTTCTGTCATTTTGGCAGAGGAATCGGGGTGTTGTGGTGGTCGAGACGGCGATAGTTGTGGAGTTGGGATATCGTATCATACCAGTAGCTCCCGTCTGCGGCAAAAGAGATCGGCTCACAACGGTTGCCCATTGTTGCTATTATTGTTTACTAAGCCGGGGTATCGTAGCCACCAGTCGGGTAAGGTGGAACTTGGGATGCCACCACGTTGCCCACAAGGGCTTTTTGCAATCAATCACCCTTCTCCTTTTTCAAAGGACACCAAAATAGGGGGGGGGGTGCATCTAGGGTACCAGTATTCCATCACATGGCATACCGGTATTGGAACCCCCACCTCCCTGTCATACTCTACAATCTATCAATCTATCTATCATACTCATCACTCTTTTTCTACATGTTTGGTTGACAAAAGTGCTGTTCCATACCGTACCCATACAACAGGGCTTCGAATCCAAAGGCAGCGGGAAAATCTGAAATCTGACGATCCAAAAAAGCCACAAGATCGGTGATGGTAAACGACAGAAACAACATTGCGGAGCTTTCGAGTTGACCCAGGCGCTCTCCGCCGTACTACCCGCACTCGAGTACTCGTACAGTACTAGTACAGTACTCTACAAGTACTCGTACAGTACTAGTACAGTACTCTACAAGTACTCGTACAGTACTAGTACAGTACTCTACAAGTACTCGTACAGTACTAGTACAGTACTCTACAAGTACTCGTACAACTGTAGACACATTCGGAGAAAGCAAGGGGGAAAAAGAAAAAGAAAAAAAAAAAGAGCGGAGAGCTACGGTAGGGAAGGCAACATGCAAATCTATGGTACTGTACGTCAGTGGATTGTTGTAAGGATGTTGACATAAAATAATCTATCTGAAGCATATCGATACCAGGGCCAATTGTGCTGGCACAGTATTTCCTATTTCCTACCGGTATTTGACCTAGGCTGACGAGAATGCGTCATACGAAATCACTTCGCCATACTCGTACAGTAAAGTGTTATATATGGAGAGGATAGCGCACCGGTAAGTTAGGGGAGTGGATGCTAACTTGGGAGCTTATCAGAAGAAGGATTAGCCCTTCCTTCCCTTCCAGAAAACTCAAGTCAACAAACGGAGGTCAAAGAACTCGGGTGATGGAGGATCTACTCGTGGGGTGGCTGCTGAATTGCGGAATGTTTCAACTGCAGGTACCATCACGCTCGGCCTAAGGCGTGATGGGTAGAGCGCAGTGCTTGCCAGTGCTTGCCAGTGCAGGATTCTACTCGCACATCCTTAGTGCTCTTACTCGTGCGGGTAAAACTGTACGAGTACGAGTACTGTAAGGCACGATATCGTGCTTGTGCGTGCTTGAGCACCCACCAGCAGCTGGGTTACAAAGGGGGGCCCTCAGGAATTGGCCGAAAGATCTCCTTCGTTTTGAAAAGAAGGGGAAAAAGAAAGAGCGGACCTGGCTCGAGAACAAAACATGGGAAAAGAGGGGAACAAAAAAGAGATGAGGGCTACTGCGGCAACAATTTCATACTGTATCCTAATTTGTATGATATCACACCAATACCGGTATTTTACTGAAGAAAGAAGAGAGGTAGAGAAAGATATCTTGTTTCCTGGTTTTCCTTTCCTCTCCCTTTTGCTCTCTCTCCCCCCCTCCCCCCCTCTCTCTCGTCTGTGGATCCTCATTCCCAATCCTCACATCCCCGCCAATTCTTCTTCTATTCTGTCCTCACACATGGCACACATGGTGTCTATTTCATTCCTTTTATCTATCTATTTATTTGTTTATTTATTTACTTTTATTTCTCCCCCCATCGTCATAGACTTCCCTTCTTGAATTCTCGCTCCCCTTTACTGTAAAATTTAATGTATAATATATATTATATATATATATTTACAGTAATACCGGTACTTTCGGTACCTTACAGTATTGAAAAATTTAATTATCAGACTTTTTTTATTTTTATTTTTATTTTTATATTTTTCACAACGGCTTCCCCCCCTCTCTTCCTCCGTTTACTCTCTTGTCAAATCGAGTCACCTGTTCAGCAAATATCGTAGTAATAAGTTTTTCTGCACTCTCATTACGGCCATCTACCTTCTCTCGCTCTCCGCGTCTGTCAATTGCATTCATAAGGTAAGTTTGATGATGCTGCATTGGGTTCTAGCGAATCCACCCCTCTCCCCCGTATCCTCCTCCACATAACACCCTCCTTCCCCCACATGCATACCGAGCGGCCCACTATTACCACACCCTCAGCCTGTTACCCACAGATCAGAGATTGTTATTGCCAACGTGTGTGCTGGTATTTTCAGGTGCCCAGGAACAACAACAGCCCCCAATCCCTCACATATCATACCTTAACCGTTAACTTAATCCCTTCCTTCCCTTCCCCTCACCTCTTGCCTTCATCCCCTCTTTCCCTTCTCTTGCTGGAAGAGGGTGGTGGATGGCTACGCAACCCGGGGTACTCCGTCGTGTTGATTGGTCTGTTGACGATCGAGTTTAGCATTGAGCGCGGTTGTCTGCAATTCGCCAGCACGCGTCGGCACCACGTCTCCAAGGAAAAAAGGTTGTCTCTTCCTTGTGCATTTGCAGCTCTTTCCCTCCCTCTGATCGAGCCACCTGGAGCAGAAAGAGCAGAGCAGCGCAGAGGCCCCGAAACCCAATTGTAACCAGTCAAACCCCCCCCAACAACAACAAACCGTCTCTCCCTCAACCCCACTTGGATAGGGTGCCTCACATTGGATCCAATCAGGCACCGCCAGCTCTCCGTCCATTGGCTTCAAGGACAATTCCACCCTTTTCCCTAGGCTTAGTGCCGGCATCGGCGGTAGCCATCAATCCATCCACCCTCTTGCCCACGCCGACCAGTCAGTCAGTCAGTCCGACTCAGTCAGTCAGAGGCGTTCCGACAACTCTCCTCTTGCCTGCTGCCCTTCCCCTCCTTGGTCGCATCTTACAAACCCTCCTTCTTCAAGAGTACTTCATCTTTTGTACCCGTTTTTTTCATTTTTATTCCACCATTCCTTTGGTCGTCTTTTTCCATCATCATCATTTGCGTTGATTTTTTCCGGCTTTTTCTTGCGTTAATTGTTCCTTTGTAATTTCACTCCTTCGTCAGTACTATTTTGCCCTGTTGCTTTTTGTTATTGTTTGGCGCGCTTCCTGCTCCACCTTATCCAGAGCCTGCTGCTGTGCGTCTATTCCAGCCACCACCACGCCGCGCCTTCGACTAGCTCGTTTCCTCGAAATACAAACTTGTTCTTGAATCACCAGCCTAACCTACCGTACATATCTGACCCTGATACACTCATTTTATAACCTTGGATTCTCGCTGTTGGTAGCCTAACAAGGTGGACTACTTGTTCACCAGGTTGTCTGAACTCCTTACCCAAAATCGGTATCATGTCCGCCAAAATGGAGGACCCATTTACCGACCTATCAGCCACGACTCCAAAGCCATCTGGGTCCTCTCGTTTCTCAAGCATGGATCCTCCACCTCATCTCTCGTTGCCTACATCTTCGCCCTCTCAGGTGAAGCGTACGCTGGAAGCTCACCTGCAGGAGGTCAATAAGCGGATTGAAACCGCTGCAGCACTGGGCCGGACATTACTTGGGCAACAACAGCAGATCGAGGAGAGGATAAAAGAAGTACAGGAGGGGGGAGAGCAGATAGATCCCGAGCTTAAGAAGAAATTAGTGGAGCTAGAGAAGGAGTACAATGAGGTTGGACGGGAAAGTGCTAGGGCTGTTCTGACAAACAAGATTATGGCAGGCAATGGTGGGAATAGTGGAAACACTTCGCCTTACGGAGCTGGGAATGTGAGTTCAGTTTGCGGTCCATAATATTTGTATAACCAGGTTTTTCTTGCCAGGAATTTTTAGGCCCTGGAGCTGACACTTTTCTTGACTTGGTTTCGCAGCTTAGTGGTTCACCGTCTTCAACCCTACAAACGCAGGGAACTAGTTCGCCTAGCAAGCTCTCTGTTCCTCCCCCTCGTCGTCAGCGAAATCAGCCTTCACGGCAAAATGACTTGGAATTTGCTACTGAACTTGGGCAGGGGCTCCTTGTCGAGGTCCGCCGGTTACAAGGCTTGCTTTCGGAACGCGAAGAGAGCTTGAAGAACGTTTCAACAGAAAAGTTGAGGCTCGAGCAGCATGCGGAGAATTTAGAGTCCCGGTTGAAGTCACTTGATGAGAGTGAGCAGAAGTTCAAGGAGGAAAACTGGAATCTTGAACTCACCGTCCAGGATTTGAACAGTCAGGCTGCCGCACAGAGGGATACGGAGACCAAATTGCATGCACAGATTTCACATATGGGACACGAGAAAAATATGGTGATCAAGGAGCTCGATGACTGGAAGCACCAAAATGAGAAGCTTTACGAGGATTTGGAGGCAGAGCACAAGCATCACGAGGTTGAACTTGCCGCTATGAGACGGAACCTGGCTACGAATGAGGGTGAACGCCATTCCCTGCAGAATAAGGTTGACGAGCTGAAGCAACAACTGGAAGAGAGCCAAAGGAATAGTCTTCGATTACGCCAGTTGGAGCAACGGTCAGATGGGGAGGATACACTCAATAAACCCTTTGACCTAGAGCCTACAGAAACTACTCCGGAGAACTCACCCCCTCCTTCACCGACTAAACAGACACCTAGGCATACCATGCTTGAGGCTGAGACTGTGAGGTCAAGTCTTAATCATGCGCACAGGATGATTGCCACTCTCAAGAACAATGTGCACCGAGAAAAGACAGAGAAGGCAGAACTCAAACGCATGCTCCAGGAGGCTAGGGATGAATTAGAAACGGCAAGGAACGGCTTGGGGAGTGGCCCATCAGTGAGTACTGGAAAACGGCGAAAGAATGACGGGTTCTTCAGGAAACCCATTCTCCGCCCAAATGTGAACCCAGGTCTCCTTGGTGGGCCAAGAAAGAGCAGGGACGAAGTGACAATGGTCGAACCACCTGTAGAAGAGGAGTGGGAAGAGACTGAGGATCTTGTACCTGATCCTCCACAGACACCACGTGGGCAGCAAAATAAATCAGCTTTCGACCGAGGGAGTGATGACCGGGACGCAACCGATGCCTTTGAAACTGCTGACGAACGTGGTGCTAATGCTACCGAGACCGAGGCTTTCCAGACTGGCAATGAGAGCCCTATGGCTGATTATCCGACATCTGCCGATGAGCTTACCGAAACCGAAACCAGCCCTGCACTCAAATCGAAGGCTTCACGTGGATCGGCGTTCGGCGTGCGATCCTTGAGGTTGAACAAGAGCCGTTACCGTGATAGTGTTGCTTCTACTGGCTCAACTGAAGATGACGATGACCATGGATATCGTTATGGAAGTTTCGGGCCCGGCAATGATGATGGTATGGAGGGCTCATCTGAGATGATGATTGGCGGAAATCACCCAACCAACCCGCGCCTGAAATTGAGAATCAACAGAGCCCGAGGTAGGGGAGGGCCCAGAGTCTTATCAGGGAGTAGCTTGTTCAGCGATAGGCCGATGTCTGCGGATTCAAGTCCAGGGGGAGGGTCGCCGGCCGGTGTGCACCAGAAACTATCCACGCCCGGTGAGCGAAAGAGCTTATTCGCAGAGCTGGGCGATACTCCAATGTTGGGCGCTGATGGTGACGAAGATGAGGAAGAGGACGAGGATATGGAGGAGCCCGATACACCAACAAAGAGGCTCCTCCCGTATGTCCAGATGGTTGATTGTGCTGTCATGACCGAGGAACCATACCCGAATCAACAGAACCAGCAGTCACGTGGCGTCTTTGATGAGCATGAACGACCGCGGGCTGCCGTTGCTATTAAGGGGGCATCTCCGACCGTTTCAGTTGGAGTGCAGTCAGATCCCGAGCCGGAAGTCGTGAAGCCGAAGGTGGCCGATGCGGCGGTCCAGAGTCTGGAAGAGCCTAAGCCCGCTGCTGGTGGGATCGGGGTCCAATTAAAAGCTGCCGAGACTGGAACTCAGTTTGGTGAAGAGTTGATGAGGGAGAATACCGTTGCGCCTCCGTCTCCGCCCGTTGCTGTGCCAGAAGCTCAGGGACCAGCTACGAAGGGCGCAGAGACACAGTATGATCCAGAATTGAAGGCGATAAGTAAGGCTGATAAGAGTTTGCTGCCCCTGCCTGTGCCTCTTCCGCTTCTCGTTCCTGGTAAAGGTAGTTCCGTGCCCCCACCATTAGTAAAGAATGTGAGGAGTGTTGAAACACAGTTCGAACCTAAACTAGCGGCCATCGATACTAGAGGCACCTCCTCAACTGTTGGAAGTGGTACACAAACAGTTCCCGAGGAGGACCTGTCACCCGTGATCCGCGCTGGGACTAGCCAGAGTGAATTGGAAGAGGCGATTGAGAGAGCAATGATGACTCCGGCGAAAGAGAACGAGATCGTACCCATTCCACCTCTTGAGTTCTCCAAAATTAACACACAAGCCACTTCCCCCATTGATCCCTCTACTCCTGTCAAATCTCCACGCGCGGTTCTTCCCGTCCCTACTCCTGCTGGAGGCGTTGATGCATCTGGCTCGTCCGATGAGGAAACACCCAAGAAGGTTTCTGAGAGTGTGGAGGATTCGCAGCGAGTGCCATCAACACCAAGCCCGTCAACCACCACTACACCCGAGAGGGCGGGCTTCTTTGGATCTGTGTTTGGCGGTTGGAGGAGGAGTGGGTCTACTGCGTCGAAACCGGAGACACCCATTCCTGTTGAAAATGATAAACCTCAAGCTGCGAGGAATCTCTTAAAGACCGACCTTGCAAAGACGTGGGTGGTACCTCAGGCACCTGAGGCACCTGGGGAGACGCAGGAGGCGCAGGAGGTGCAGGGGGCAGTGGAGGCAGCGAAGATACCAAGGCCAGAGGGCTCTATAGAGCCACAAGAGCCGCAAGCACCACCACCACCGCCACCGCAGGCCTCACAGGAATCAATGGTGCCAGTACCGCAGGCCGCACAAGAATCAATGGTGCTGCAATTACCAAAGCCAGTTCCTATGTTGGACCAAATTGTCCAGACGGATATAACTTCGGAGTTTATTGACGAGTTATCCCAGAATGCAAAGAAGCTTGATAAGGGTAAACAGCCAGCATATATGGTCGGTGCTGGCGAAACCGGTGTCAACACAGAAAAAACTTCGACGCGGGGGGCAAGTCTCCGATCAGGAGCCTCACAGGAGAGTATCAGTCGTACCGGTGTTAGGGCCGTCGGAGCCGCTGCAATTGGTAGTGAGCCACCTCGGCCGAATCCCAACGCCGCACTTAGGCGTCCTGGGAGCTCGTCTAGCATGCGGGAGGGCCGCAATGCCCACCCTCCTCTACCACAGGATCACAAGGAGGTTATCGCAGCGGCGCAGCAGAAGGTTTTTGCTTCACACGAGCCCGGATTAATGGGACCGCCTCCAGTGCCCTTATCAAGTGCAGGATATAAGGGAAGTGTGACCTTTAGGCCCCTCCCCCCTAGTCAAGATGGTCCATCACGGCCGCCGGAGACCCCAAGCTCCAGGGGCGGTACTACTCCTCGGCCGAGGTTCTCCACCACGAGAAGTGAGGTTTCATCGCCCACGTCTCGTCGATCATCGCTTTCTTCATTCGCATCTGAGCTAGACGAAAAGTTCAATATGCAAGCACAGAATACCAATGGCTCACCAAGTGGACCCGAGAATGCCACAGATCCCCGGATGATTCAAGCCATTACACAGACGATGATAGGAGAGTACCTCTGGAAGTACACAAGGGCTACGGGGCGCGGAACCCTATCCACGAGTAGGCACAAGAGATTCTTCTGGGTTCACCCTTACACACGAACCCTTTATTGGAGTGATCGGGATCCTACCACTGCTGGAAGAGCCGAACTAAGGGCGAAGAGTGTGGCTATCGAGGCTGTTCGGGTTGTTACCGATGATAACCCGATGCCACCTGGATTGCACAGAAAGAGCTTGATTATTGTTACGCCTGGAAGATCGTTGAAGTTTACAGCAGCTACGGGACAGAGGCATGAAACATGGTTTAATGTAAAAAATTCTTGGTTTACCTCATAGATTCACATGTGGATTCAGATCACTGACTAGATGATAGGCCCTTTCATATCTTTTGCTGAGAACTGGCGGTGGAGTTGATGATGAGAACGGTGTCACTGCCGAAGACGTCAATGATTTCAATCCAGGTTATCAAGGTGCGGGACGTGGGGCTGTCAGTGTGTCTTCTTTCAACTCTCGAACCACTCATGGCTCCTCACCACCACCGCGAAACCTTTCCTCGCTTTCTAACCGACGACCCGGGGAGAGTTCAATGCGTCAAGGCAGTATGTCTAGACTGAGCAATATCTTTAGGACTACTTCTGGGTTGGCAACGTTTAGCTCCCGAAGTAGCCGACACAACGCTAGCATATATGGCACTAGTGAAGTGAATGATTCTGCCGAAGAGTTGAGGCTTCAAATTGAGCGAGAAGAGAGAGAGGCAGACCAATTAGAGAATGTTCGAGCCTGCTGTGATGGTACGCATATACCCTCACGTCGCTTACAATATATTCTAACCAATACACCCCCGAATAGGAAAACACGATGTGAGCACCCTCACCAAAAAGGGCCGAAGAAGCACCCAAAGTGCTAGAGGAAGGGATGAGCATAACCACAACCATAGCCACCAACCCCATGCCCACACCGTGAGCGGCCATGAGCGCAATCATTCACACAGCTGAGATATGGCCGACCGAGCAATCGGATCGATCAATCCCCCTCTCATCTGTAGTATTTTTATTCATTCTCCCTCTTTCCCTCCTGCTTGTTGCTGTTTTTAAATCTGGGTTCTGCGTGCTTCCGTAGTTTTATCATTCTAGGGGAAATTGTCTTGCTCTTTTTTTTTCCTCCTCTCCTTGAATCAGTCAATCATCCTCACCGAAAAGCCTTGAGGTCTCTCTTTTCTCCTTTTCCTTTCTCTCGAAACCCGTTCCCGTGCTCTTCACCATACCTACCATCCACATTCATCAAAAACCTAGAAAAAATCACCCCCTTTCTTTCTCTTTCTGTTCCTCCTTTTTCTCTTCTATCAAAGCTCAATCGTAATTCTACCCTCTTTTCCGCGCGACCTTTTCCTTACATTTTTTACCCTTTCCCTCTTCAATTCATTCTATGATACCGCCATCGCATAAGTCTATTAGTTACCCATGAAGATTATCACCATCTTAAGAAGAGACAAAATTGCCGCCATAGCTCGCTCTTCTGAAGATAGCACTTATTTCATCTTTCATCCCGTGTTTTGTTATTGCATTCTTTCACTTGCTCGCTTGCTTTGCTTGAAGGAAGGGTAGGAAGGAGCAGGGTTGCTAAATGAAATGACCTGATACGCCTTTCTCTTTCTTTTCCTTCCCCTTCCCTTTCCCGTTTTGTTCTGTTTTGTTTTCACGGCTTTGTACCATCCGCGAATCCGATAAAAACACAGCATATTTCGAAGTACAACTTACATCACAGACTGTTCTCTTTCCTTTCTTTTTTGTGTTGATGGCCTACTCTTCGCTTTTTTTCTTTCTATGGTTTTGCACGGCTGGCTTTTTACTCTCACACGCTCTTGTTTTTGGTTTAGGCTTTGGGTTGGGATGGCTTGGGTTGGGATGGACTGGGTAGTGTGGGATGGTGGGAGTATTGCATCGTATACTGTCTGTAGCTCCTCGTAGGTAGGAGGGATAAAAAAAAAGGGGTGGGGGGGGTTATGTGTTTATGAATTTATCGGGATTGCAAATTTGTAAAGTCTCTGCCTAAGAGTATTGATGAAACGGCCCTTTCACACCAAAAACCTGCCATGTCTACCAACACTACACGACCGGAATTATGTATTGTATTCCGAATAGTGCACCTGATCTACCTGACTACGGTAGTTTCGCATTGTTTCAATCTTTCACCAGAGACCGCCCACAAAGCCCATCTGCCCCCGGTGGTTAAATTATCATTCCGGTCTTCAAAGTCGACAATAAGTTACCATTGTCATGGCAATTTTGTATGATAGGTAAAAATGGCACTTTTGGGCCGCGTCGAAACTTTGGAACCAACACAACACAACATTCCCCCCTGTTTGGGCCAAATTGGAGCGGGATCTATATCAGGGTGTGGGGGGGATTATAGCAACCAAAAACCAGGCAGGCTAGATGAAAAAAGGTGTTGGGTTGGTCCGTAAACCGCAGGCAGCCAAAACTCATTGCTTTTGGTGTGAAATCGCTACCTCACCTGCACTTTGGGGGAGGGAGTTTATTGTGATTGGTTGGGGATGGGATGAGAGGGTGGCGAGTGATTGTGAGTGATTGATCGGGAGTATGATATTATGATACGGTAGTTGCTTGTAGTCAGTGTCAGTCTCGTTCTTAAGGGACGGGAGGGTAATTCTATAACCTGCATCGTCTATTGCAGTATCATACCATGATCGGCGTTCCCTCTCTCCCGAACGATGTGTCTTGAAGGCCCCGAGTGGACACCGGGCGCGAACAGTAATCTAACAAAGCGTTTCTATGATACAAGAGCAGCTTCTGCATCTAATTCCCTCTCCCTTCCATCCATCTCCCTAGCTCGCCTCCCCACTCTCCATACTCCTCCCCCTTCCACAGCCCCTTCCCCCCCCCCTAACCTTCCGGGCCCTCAAACACTTCATAACCAACCCCTTCCCGACCCCTACCCACCACAACCCGAAATAAACCGCATTGGCTCCAACCACCCACCCAACTGTCTTCAAAAACCCACCCTGACCCCACCCCTCGCCGAGAAACCTCCAATCCAACTCGCGCCCCCCTTCAACCACAGCATTCCCCAGCCAAACCCAAACATCCACGTAAACAACCACCCAGAACGTGATCTCCAGCGCCCGCACCCTCGGAGACAGCAGCGTAGTATTCGGCGTCACGGAGTTCAGTAGGAGGATCTCCGCTAGGACTATGGGTGTGTTGAGGGTGCTTATTAGGAGTTCTGGGATGCTTAGATGGAGAGCGGGGTGGGAGAGCATGTGCGGGAGGAGGGTGGTAAGATATAGTATTGTCACGCATATGGGGAATAGGGTTATGGTCGTGTAGAAGGAGTAAAAGGCACAGGTTTTGAATGTGTAGTAGGGTGATGGGAAGGTTATGTCGAGGAAGCGTTGGAACGTTATTGGGATTAGTAATGATGATGGTGTAGGCGATGGGGATGTAGGGGTGAATGATGGCCAGGAGGCGTGATGTGCTGGGGTTGTGGTTTTGTAGGTCCAGTACTATCCCAACCCATTAGTCGATGATACTCCCCAGGAGGGTGGGAAGGGTGGAGAGGGCACTTACGGTCATCAGCCACATATACACCACCTGAGCAGTCCACGATATGTTCATTGCCTGGAATGGGAATATCCCCAGCCTTTGAGCTAGGGTCTCAACGGTGAAATGCCATAGTAGCAGACTGCTCATGAGTAAGGATATGACTAATCGAGCGGTGAACGCGGTGTGCTGTGAGATGGAGTCCCAGGGCGCTTCGACGACTTCTATGTAGATATTTGGGTCCGGGACGAGGAGCTCATCTCGGCCAGTCACTTGGCCGAGGAGTGGGGTCGAGTCCTCCTCTTCATCGGGGCGAGGAGAGGTAGCTGTAGTAGTGGTGGCCATTAGAGATAAGGATCTGGGGGGGCTCCTTTAGGGGTTAGAAGTAGGTGTAACAGGTTGTCACTGGGTATGATTTATTCCCAGTGCAACGAAGCGAGAACCGACTGACGAAGGAGACGTTAAACACTTATACGCCCCCCTCCGTAAGCAAAGCAGGCGGCGGGGGGGGGAGCTTATATCATTCTTATAAGCTGGCGTTCGTAACCTCCCTCCCCAGGGCGCTTGGGAGTGATATGTGTCAAGAGCCTATTCTCACATTCCACAGCCTCACCCTCGTGACCCGTGACCCCGACAAAAATTCCGAGTACGAGTGAGATCCCATGACGGTATCACCTTATCCCATTTTCCTGTGCTAAACCGTTTCGGGGTAACCATGATATGCCCCGCGTGAGAGATCGCGTCGCTTCGACCAGCTACTGTACTCGTATGATACTTGCGGAAGCTTTGGCCCACAAAAGGCACTCAGTTACGGTACCGGTAAACTATGGACTGCCGCGCCTACCCCAAAAACGAACGCACTGCCTGTCGACTCGGGCGTTACTGTATTTAACGAGAAAGGGAATTGGGGGGGGCTCTCTCGCCACAAACAAATTACTATCATACTGTCGTTTGCCTCTGTTCATCGGTATACTTTTCGCGCAGCATCGGATATCTAAAGCTTTCTCTCTTCCTCTTTCACAAATTTTGCTTTGTTTTGGTGTGGGGGAGGGAGAGCTTCTGATCGAGCTTAGCTTTTCAAAATTTTGCTCACACGAACGAGCTGTGTATTAGATAAGGTTACGCTATTATTCCACTGCCAACTATGGAACCGTTTACTTTCGCGAGCTCGGGGTCGCTGGAGAGGAATGTTGAAGTGAGGATGTGAGGGGATTTTTCCTGTGTTCCCGTGGCTAAGCTCGGGGGTGATTTTTCTGATACTGACGGTGATGATGACGATGGTTATAGTGATTCGCTTGAAGGGCAGCGGTCCTCCCTAGCTTATACGACGCTTATGGCGGACCCCAGTTTGAAGCATGTTGGATCGAATACCACGTATGTCTTTCGTTCTTTCTTCCTCTCTGGGGGCCGTTCCTGAGGGGCGAGGGGGTGGGGGTGAGCTGATGGGATAAAGGCCCTATTCGGATATGTATGTCACTGCACAGCTGTTCGCTGATAGTAAACCGCTAGCGGTTCCAGTGCAAACTTCTTATAAAGCATTTAAGAATCAGAGATTGTAAGTGCTGCCCTTTCCGCTTGGATGGAGTCCCTGAGTTGGTGTTAATATGTGGGAATGAGTATAGGTGGTCTGAATGGCTCACGGTGCCAGCGAAGTATTGCGATTTACCTCTATCGTCACAGCTCGCGATTACATTATGGGATTTGGCTGGCCCTGGGAGGCCGGTGCCGTTTGGAGGGACTACGGTGACTTTGTTTGAGAAGGATAAGTATGATACGTTCAGTGTCAATACTTTGGGGCTTTGCCTTTGACTGATGCCGTTCAAATTATAGTAACCTCAAGAAAGGCCGACAGAAGTGTAAGGTCTGGCTTGGAGTCGAAGCTGATGGCTTGAGTGACACTACTACCCCGAGTACTGTTGAATCGCATAGTGAAATGGATCGTCTCGAGAGGGTAGGTCTTCCCATTGTTGTTCGGGCGCAGCGCACAAGCACTAACTGCTAGGATAGCTCTTTAAGAAACATGAGCTTAAGGAACTCCCCCGAATAGACTGGCTGGATAACCTAGCGTTTCGTCAAATAGAAAGAATTAATAAGGAAGCTACGACCGAGGATAAGAACGATCACTACCTCTTCATCGACTTTCCTAGGTTTGATTTTCCAATTGTTTTCGCCGACTTCGAATACTCAGATCATAACCATCGGGATCCATCGAATCTTTCACCCACAACTTTCACAGTCCATTCATCCTCGACACTACAGCGCCCGGTTCAGGCTGTCGGCCTAGGTAGCGGGAGTGGATCAAGCTCTAATAAGATGATAGTGCCGGTTTATGACCCTGAGAACCCTCGGGATAATCCGGCGGAGTCTAAGCATCGGAGGCTTGTCCGGTCCCACAGGAATGGCCCTCTCGATAGGGACTTGAAGCCGAATGCTAAAATCCGTGATGAGCTTAATGAGATACTGAATTATAGCCCGACGCATGACCTCGTTGGTGCGGAGAAGGACTTGTTGTGGAAGTTTAGATTCTACCTTACTAGAGATAAGAGGGGGCTCACCAAGTTTCTTAAGAGTGTGGCTTGGGGAGATCCGGCGGAGAGTAAGCAGGCTGTCCAATTGTTACCTAAATGGACCGAGATCGACGTTGATGATGCCCTTGAGCTTTTGGGCCCTGGGTTCGATAATCCCGCTGTTAGAGCGTATGCAGTGGATCGGTTGAGGAAGGCTGGTGATAACGTATGCTCCTGACACCCCCCACGCTCTTTTATTGTAGTCTCACACACATATCCTAGGATTTACAACTATATCTTCTGCAGCTGGTACAAGCTCTCAAATTTGAGAAGATCAGAACAGAGACAGGACCGGATGCAGCTGCAGACTCGAGTCTAGTGAACTTCCTTATTTCGAGAGCTTGCACGAACGAGACCTTGGGCAACTTTTTCTACTGGTATCTCATGGTTGAAACGGAAGATACCAATCAGAAATACAAGAGGCTGTTCAGCAAAGTTGCATACCAGTTCCAAGTTGCACTGACTAGGATGCCGGATGGCGACAAGAAGCGGGCGACCTTGAAACGACAGGCAGAATTTGTTTTCGGGATTGGTGAAATATCAAAGGAGATACAGAGCAACAAAGGCGACCGGCTCAAGAAGGTTGAGCATCTGAAGCGTGCGTTATCTGATCCCAAGAATGAGTTGTTATCCTTCGAGTCGGTTCCTTTGCCTTTGGATCCTAGTGTTACGGTTGTTGGGTGCTTTCCAGGTATATATTCACTTCTTCCAAGCCTCGTGAACCCTTGCTAACGTTGCTGCCAAGAATCTTCCAATGTTTTTAAATCGTCACTATTCCCACTTCTTATACATCTGAAGACGGATAAGGGCGAGAGGTATCCTATAATTTTCAAGAGCGGAGATGACCTTCGTCAGGACCAATTGGTCATCCAGATTGTAACCTTGATGGACAATCTCCTAAGGAAGGAAAACCTGGATCTGAAGCTCACGCCCTACCGCATCCTTGCCACTAGTGCATTCACTGGTGTTGTACAGTTCGTTGACTCCTTGAGTCTAGCAAGTATCGAGCGAGGTGCCGGAATCCTACCATACCTAAAGTCGAACAATCCGGACCCCACGCAGGAATATGGAGTGAGGGCGGAAGTGATGGATACGTATGTCAAGAGTTGCGCTGGGTATTGCGTAATTACGTATATCCTGGGTGTCGGAGATCGGCATTTAGATAATCTTCTATTGACACCTGATGGTATACAGCCCCCACCCCAACCTTCCCACTTTATCCGCTGCTGTTGCTCACAGAGCGTTGCGCAAACAATATGATAGGCCACTTCTTCCACGCTGACTTTGGCTTCATCCTCGGCCGAGACCCAAAGCCCTTCGCGCCCGCCATGAAACTTTGCAAAGAAATGGTGGACGGGATGGGCGGTGCGAATTCCCGGCACTACATTGAATTTAAGAACTACTGCTACACGGCGTACACCACGCTGCGCAAGTCTTCGAACTTGATACTCAATCTGTTCGCGCTGATGGTCGACGCCAACATTCCGGATATCCGGTTGGAGCCTGATAAGGCGGTGCTGAAAGTTAAGGATAGGTTTTGTCTGGAGATGACGGAGGAAGATGCCATCAAGCATTTTAGAATTTTGATCGATAATAGCATGAACAGTGTTTTGCCAGTGCTGATTGATAGGATACATGTTCTCGCGCAGATTTGGAGGACGTAATTTGGATGGGAGTTGGGGGGTTGTTAGGAGATCTTGCGAGTGTTGAGATACCTCCTTGTATGATATATATGTTATAAATTCTCTCTCTCGGTCAAGGGATCCTAGCCTGCAGACAACTTGGAAGAAAGGGAAAAGAAAAGGAAATCCAACAGCGTATCTGGTATCACAATCTAGGTTTATGCTGGCTGTGATAGATGACAGGGAAAGAGGGTTGTCGTCCGGCAGGTGAAATAAAAATATATAAAGAAAAATTCCATAAAGAGAGCCCCCATCCTGTCCAAGCGCTTATCTATCCATCTACTACATTCAGTTCAACCTTGGACAGTAGCCTCCCCTTGAAGCCTCCTTCTCAACAGCACTCTCCACCTCCCCCTCACTCTTGAACAAGAACGGATCCTCCACCATGTCCTCCACTCCGGCGGGGATATACTTCCTGACATACCTCTCCACCCACTCCTTCGGAATACCCACAGCATCCCTAAACCCATTATTGATCCTGTGAATATACTCCTCCTTAGGAGACCCATCTGTAGTTCTTATCGTATCAATGTAAACCAACACATCCTCCAGCATCCTCTCCCCCTCCCCCTCCCCATCTCCTCCGTCTCCGGATGAGGGAAGGAGTTTAACCGGGTGTTTGACCCGCTGGTACCAATATGGCACTCCCTCACTCAGGTCCAATTGCGCCTCGTCGGATTCACTGAGCGTGTATACGACGCCGTATGTGTCGTGGTGGTGGTGGTTGTTGGTGGTGGTGGTCGGGACCAGGTTTGCGTAGCCACGGGTGTTGATGTGCCAGCGGTGGCAGGGGAGCAGTGCTGTGCCAATTAGCTTGTGCCCCGGACAGCGGCGGTGCATCTGTGACAGCCAGAGGTTTGAGCCGTAAGCGAAGTAGTAGGTTGGGGGTTTGGTGTCTGTGGTTGTCATTTTGGGGTTTTTTGGGTTGGGAAGTGGGAAGCTTTTTTGATGGCGGCGGTGGTGGCAGTAGCGAGGGATCGAAGGAAATGGATGGGAGAATGAGAAGGGAAGGGAAGGGAAGGGGGGGGGGAGGGTGATATAGCAATCTTCCCGGCGGATGTGCAAGTTACCGCATCCCTTCGCTCATCCTAGAATCCCACACAGCCTTTTGCGCAGCACGGTAAGAGTACCGCGAAAACCCTTTAAATCTACCATTGGAACACTTGGCATCAACTTGCGCAATTGGATAAGCGAAATTAAGCCAAGAGATCGAGTGATCTGTTATGATGCCGAGATTGCTTAAGTTCAACGTCTACAATTCGGTCAGCCAGAATAACTTCAGGCACAAGTAGCTAGAAAATCAATCTTCATGTTCGGTGGATACAAATTCAAGCTCCTGATACTCTACACCATCTGCAGTACCTCTATGAGAAAGTGACTCTAAATGGTGTCTCCAATCCCCAATTTTCAAATCCTCAAAGCCCCTTATGTCCAACTCGTGATCTGGGGTTCCATCGATTGGGAGAGATAATCCAACCTTGTGAAATGACGGACAAATAACCTCTCGTTTTTCATCATGAAACTCATAAAAGACATCGCTGATACAATGGGTGATCCTTATTTGACGATCACAGATAGTCCACTTCTCAAATGCCTCAGCAGACTCAAGTTTAAAAATTTGCTTACTAGTAAGATATCATAGCCTATCTTTTAAAGATTTGTTGACTGAGACATCTAGGGGCTATACAAGGCTGGTACATCCAGCAGGAATAAAGGAAGGAATAATGTTGTACTGAGAAAGAAGTTCGACAATCGCTGGCGTTTTGTGAGATCTCATGAGATCCATGGCAAAGAGCATAGGTCAGCCACTGAGAACAGGTAGGAGGTAGTTTGTAATTTATTGTATGAATAAATTTTCATTCATATATGCCATAGGATTGTACTCAACTAGTACTCATGCATCATACTGCTGTTTCTCATTCCCTAACCTTTGTCCCATGCCTAGAAAAATTCTCATAGGTGGTATTCGAGAAATACCATCTGCAAATATGCAGAATACTAAACTAGCTTGCCTCTTCCCCCAGCCAGATTTGGATTCTATTACCCAAATAACTTTCTCACTACCAAGATTGTAAGTCTTTCCATCTAAGAACTCAAAAGGAAGTGGAGTCTCATCGAGGTTACATATATTAGAAAGCTCATACTGACCGACCGGGTATTCCACTGAAACCTCCCAAAAACAGTGTGCCCAAGGTTGCAAGTTTCAACGATTAAAACAGCCAATTAACATGGATTTGGTAATTCTCTAGTAATATCTGTACTATTTTCGTGATGCTTCATAAACTAATCTTATACCGAGCAAGAAAACCACAAAACCACTAATTGCTGAATGGAAATAGAGCTGAATTCATATTCGGATAGATCTCACAAAAAAGAAACTTGAAATAAACTTGAAACCATTCCTGTTTTACTATTCTTCCTACTTTCCTCCTCTCTATAAACTTGCTATATAACTGCTTTTCTAACTCCAACCATAGTACCTGTTGATTATATTCTGCTTCCTCTTCTTTTGTCTTTGCTGGTAAGTTCTTTCCCCTCACTTCAATCTCCTCCTTTCTCCTAATCCAGTCTGATATTGTGTGTTGAGGTACATTGTATACTTGAGATGCTTCTTGTTGGGTTGGTCATCGATATCCACGCTCTAGTGGTAGTAGGATTTCGTGGTACTCCAGGAATATGAGGACTGGCAGCTTTTGACTTTGGCTATAGGTTCTCTTCAGGTATTGAATTGGCTGTAAGCTTGTTAGGCAGAGACAACCTGATAAACTTCAGAGTTGTCTAAGCCAACCAAAATTAGTTTCTGAAGACAGAAATTATCTAGGAAGGCTAGGATTTCGCTCATTTCATTTATGAATACTGAAAGTGAAGTAAAATAGGTAAAGTAGAATTGAATCGTAAAGACAATATTATATATTATTAAGGTCTCTTCTCCATTGCTTGATAATGTCTAAAGATTAAGAGGCAATTCGATATTTATATTCCGCGTCTGAGTGTTTGTGGACTACATCTATTTATTATACAACTATGTACCTCTCTGATTATAACTCGTAAGGTTGAATATTCTTAAAAGGTTCGAGTATGTAATGATCCCTTCTTGGATAGTTAGTTCTTGGTGATGGGGAACGATACTTCTCTTCTACTGTTCTTTTCCTTAGTCTTACGATAGCACTAGGCCTCTGCCTACATTACCGATAGTATAAGACCTCTGTCTTCTATTGGGAACGCCTATCGTAAGCTTTCTCTAACTCTTCTTCATGAAGAGCTCTCCTTGGTGTAACGATAATGTTGCAATAAAGATAAAGATCGTAAAGGTGTTTTATATTTGTTAAAGTAATAAGTAGGAAAAGTACTTAGAACAAAGAATGAAGAACCTATCCTCCACGGCCGTATCGGCCTCCTTATATAGTATTCTTCCCGCCCATAGTCATGTGACCCAAAGTAGTCACATATGTGAAACCAAATCATAACAAACTAGTCATGTGACCAAAGTGGTCACATACTCAAAACCCATGACCTCATAGCAAGGTCATGTGCAAAAACTCATAAACAAATCCTGATACAATAAACAAGTCATATGACTCGACTGAGTCATACGCATGAAACCCATGACCTTATAATGAGGTCATGTGTGAAACATAAATCATATGTGCAAGGCCTACCCGCAAGGCACACTCACAAGGCATACTCGCCAGGCGCATGTCCCATGACTCATATTTGAGCCATGTGTGAAAGTATTACAAATCCCACACATAACAAATCATATGACTCGAATAAGTCATATGTGTGAAACAATAACATACCTGTGACTCATAACCATGTGTCATGTGAAAACCTTTTCCTCACCAAGCCATATTTGTGACATTAGCTCCTCTCCCCCTAAGCCTGAGTCCCATCAGGCTCTTTCCTCAAGCTTCAATAGTTCCCATCGTGCTGAGTGCATGGACCTGTGAAGCCTATTGAACTTGTCGTCCGCTTCCCTTCATCTTACCCTCACCGTTTCCAAGGTGAGGTTCGCCATCTCAATCGTATGCCTCTGAACATCATTCAGCTATCGTAGCTCTACAATCGTTTGGTCGTTTGCTGAAATTGTAGCTTTGGCCTGACCAAGTTGTTCCTGGAGTCCTCAGATTTGCCTGTGTAGGCTCTTGGTGTCCAGTTCCATTTCTGTCAATGAGATTTGGGCTTCCTCCTCCTTGGGCCTCATCCTTGAGGCCCTAGCTCTTTGCCATACTGTGGTATCTTTTCCTTCCAACTCTTTCTTCGTCCCATCCTTTAGCAGATCGTATCCCGCAGAGATTTTCTTCATCCTGTGCATCTTACACATGTTGTTGAAGCACTGTTTCCAGTGCTTTAGGGCATAGTCCGGGCACGGACTATACTTTTTATATTCTCTCAGGAACCATCTCAAGCCTTTCTTATCCCCGGAGTGTGTAGGACATCCATCGTCATAGCATACCGTCCATGACATGGTGTTATGCTGTGCTTGTTTTTCTCTTTCCCTGAGTTCTTCATCGGTCGGCCCGATGAATGAGTATTCAGGGCTGGTCGGTGTGGTTTGGCAGGGGCTATCACTCCAGCCCTCATGTTGTTGTAATGGTACAGGAGCCTTTCTGTTAGGAATACCAGAACCCGATACCTAGGAACCACCCTAAGTAGGGTAACCCCACTCGGAATCGGAATCTCTGGTCTCCAACACCCCCCTCCGGCTCCCTTACGGGGCCCGCGTGTCATCATATATATTAATTTCAGTTGCGTCCTGTGACTATATTACCACAGAATTGAAGGTGTTAGAATAACACCATATACGTCGTCGCCGTCTGTCCGACCAGATCCTGTTGACAGGATATATGAGAGGGGACCTTCGGCTAGGCCTGGGAAGTGGAACAGAGTAATTCCGCCAACTACTCAGAGAGTTACTTGGCTTCAAAGACATAACACTCTTGGTATGGGCCGTAGGTAACGGGACGATTTCGTACAAAGAGATGGTATCAAATGGTAAAGGATCTCTACTAGAGACTAATACATTTACATCCACTAGAAGAGTTTAGAACTCCTAAAGACACTGCCAAACAAGTCAACAAACTTCATGGAGTGTTGTAACTGGATTTCAGAACACGTCGTAGCCATGGGGTGATTCTCAATACTACAATAGTTACTGAAACCTACTACCCAGAGAGCAACTAAGGGTTGCCGACCAAGGGATTAATTACCAATCTGGTGGAATAGCTTCCTGCAAGTTAATAGGAAGTTATCCAAAGAAAATCTATTGGTTGAGTATGGAGTTACAAAGGATCAGAGTCAGACGACCTACGATAGTTGTAATGATGACCACCTTTGCAGATATAGCCATGGATAAAACTGATCATTTTATCAATGACGAAGACAATTGAAGCCAACTCAGTTCGACTTAAGAACTAGGCCATAAGTCTAAAGACTCTGCTAATTGGGATATTACTATTGGGGACAGCACGCTTCCTAAGAAGAAATATTGTAATTACCAAAGAGGGTGTGATGGTTTTCAGGGTCCACAGGTGTTCGCACATTGGAAGACAACTCGACATCGCAAATTATGATCGAAGAAGTACATAGTTATATGATAAATAGATGTAGTCCGTGAACACTCAGACGCGGAATATAAATATTAAAGTGCCTCCCAAGTTTTAGACATAATTAAGCAACGGAGAAGAGACCTTAACAATATAATATTGTTTTTACGATTCTATGCTACTTTACCTATTCTACTTCACTCCTAGTAGTTATAAACGAAACGAGCAAAGTCTGAGCCTTCCTAGACAATCTCTGTCTACAGAAACGAATCTCAATTGGCCTAGACAATTTTGAAGTCTATCATGTTGTCTCCGCCTAACAGACGACATAACAAGGGGTACAAAAGATTGATCTTGTCAAGGGACATGGAAGGGGGATTTGATAACATTAATATCGATCTCCTGTTAGACTTTCTGGTGGCTAGGGGGTACCC